CCCCCCCCCACCCCTGTGATTTGTCCGTGATCGATTCTCTGTGACGACACAGCACAACCCTATCAATGTCTGTTTGCTTCTTTCACAATGCGCACAGATTCAAACGCCATGTTGAGTTCATCGTCTAAATAAAAAGATCAAAGCAGTTATTTGTTCTAGGAAACAACACAAAAGCATCCAAAGAAAAGTTAGTTAAAAATCAAAGCGAAAACAGCGATCAGGATCTCGGAACTGTCTGTTGTAAAAGAAAACCCCCGGAAACATCGATGAACGTCGATTGCTTGATTCTTACAAACGCTTCAGGGGACCTGGAGGAGATTTGCGTTCGGCGACCACGCGATGATTTATTTGTCGTCGGCTTGAGCAGATTTCAGTGCACGTAATATCTCTGTGGGTGCAAACCCAGGTCGTTCGTGAGTGCTCTCTCGGTCTTTGAACGGGTCACGTTCTTACGTGGTCTTCCATCGATTCCAAGGCGGAGATCGCGTGCCGACAGTTTGCGCAAATCCGTTAGGATAACGCCCACCGGCCGCGGTAAATACTGTGGTGCTAAAAGCGTTAAAGTGTCCAAATAGAACAAAGTGTGTACATACAAGGTGTCATACATGGATGTAGAGGGAGGAGACTAGAGGGGGTGGGGTGGGGGAGAGGAGAAAGCTCTGGGCAGCAGTAGAAAGGGTGTATGGAGGAATGGATCAAGCAGAAAGAAAGCTGTCTATCATGCTCAACTAAACGTAAAGGTAAAAAAAGATTGTGTTTGGGGTTGGCGCAAAGGCATGCTTTCAAATATTAGAAGTGCTGTGCAAGCAGTGATCACCAATAACGTCCGACGGAGAGTGGAAATGCATTGAAAGATTCCTGTATGTTGTCTCTCATGCCCTCAATCTGTGCATGTTTATAAAGTCTTCTGAAGCTGTAAAGTTCTGGCAGCTTCTGCGCCTTTTCGTATACCAGACGGTCTGGTGTCATGTTACCAGCGTCTATGGTGTAACGGTTAGACGTTTTGTAATTGCGGGCAAAAGACGAGAGTTTGATTTTCGCGTATGGATTTCTTTTCTTTTGGGGCC